TTGCAATGGGAAATACAGTATCATTTTTGGAATATTCTTGCCAAAATATTTAACCAGAATCTAATCAGAAAGACACAGACAAATCCAGACTATGGGACATTCTATAAAATAGATGTCATGAACCCTTCAAAAATTCTTTGGTAATTAAAAAAAAACAAGAAAAATTATGGAAAATGTTCTAAACTAAAAGTGACATAACCAAATGCAACAGATTTTCAATCAGACAAGTTCTATAAATGATAACTTTGGGGAAATTTGATTATGGAATGTTAAATACTATTTAATGCTTCAAATTTTATATGTTATAATGATACTGTGGCTACATAAGAGGTTGCTTCTAAGGAGATACATGATGAAGTATTTAAGAATAAAGTATCAGGATGATTGTAACTCCATGGGGTAGGAGGAGACAGAAAGAAAAATAGAGAAACAGCTCAAATATGGCCAAATGTAATGTTGGTGAATTTAAGTGAAAATTATATCTGTGTTAAATTTGCTCTTCTTTTAACTTTTCTGAGCATTTGAAAATTTTCAAACTAAAAAGTTAAGAAAAAAATTAAATTCCCTTCCTTGCCTATTCTGCAGTGACTCAAATGAGGGTGGAAGGATGGGGTACCGAAACAGTAAAATGGGATTTGTGAGTAAAAGAAGTCTGGGGAAAGAAGGGTTTAGGTAAACTACATACAGTAGGGGCAAAGAGCATGATCCTGATAAACTAACTTGGGTAATCTACCGGTGCTTGCTCTAGCAACATTAAAATTGACTGACTTAACAACACAATAAAAGTTTATTTCTTGTTCAAGTCATAGTTGCAGTTGAGAAAGCTGACTAGAAGAAGTGACTGGCCCAAAAGCCAAACAGGTAGCAAACCAGAATTCCCACCCAGTGCTGATTCCAAAGCCTGTGTTCATTTCCTTATGCTCACTGCCCTGAGTAGAGGGACTTGCCTGTGGTATTCTGAGATTTGCGTGAGACCATTGTGGGTCCCACTGTACCATTCTTCTTAGGCTTCATTATTAGATCTTAGTTCCATCACCAATAGGCCACACAGGACCCTGACAAGACCTCACTTTAGGACTCAGACAATCGCTTCATTTGTTCTACACACATCCTTCTCAATACCTTTTATGTCCTAAGCATAATTCCAGGATACAACAGACACAGATGGACTTAGTCACTGCCCCCTTGCTGCTCACCTTCTACGGAAGTAAAAAAGTATGCCAGTAAATAAGAGGTAGAATGTAACAGAGATCAGGAAGTTCTTTGAGATAGATTCAGGGAGCACCTGTCTGCTCATTTGGTTGGAGATCTGAAAGATCTGAATGAGGCCTAAGGGAAATGTATCATTATAAACTGGGAGAACAAGTTCAAGGGGGTGGGAGACTATAACGAGTCAGGAGTGCTACTGGACGTGCAGGTGTGGCTTAGAGCCCTAGGATGGGAAGAGAGGAGGTAGGTACCAGGGATGGCGGGTGTGAGGAGGGTGGGGAGGATTGCAGGGAATAATGTCATCAGGTTGAAGACCTCTTAGCAAAATTCTGGTGAAGAACGCAGTCACCCACACGAAAGTTGGCGGCAGCCTCTTGGTAGCAGTGGGGATGAGATTTGGTCAGGAGCCATATTGTGAAGGAGGAACTGACACCATTTGCTGATGGATGTGGGATCAGAAGGGAAAAGAAAGCTATCTCCTAGGTTTGGGGCCCAAGAAATACCTCGGCTCGTAGTCCCATTTGATTTATAGAAACAGAGATTTTTAATGGTAAAATCTGCATATGCCACATTATTGCTAAAGTCATCGTGGGATAGTATTTGCACGTATGCTTTTTCTTGGCAACCAGAGGACTAGGTTTGGTAATGTTTAATCAGCTTCCTGATATTCTTAAAATAGGGTCGATGATATTTGCTGTGTCAACCCATAAGATTTTTTTTAGAACAAAATTAAAGAATATTTATGAAAATACTATTCATACAGTTGTCATCTAATAAGCATATTGTATATCTGTGTGGCACTTTCAAGACAAAATGTACTTTCTTGTGCTCAAAGTAATTACAGTCACCACTATGGACTGGAATCCCTCTGACTGTATTAGGTTGTGTTATTATGTTAAAATAGTTATTAGCAGCCTGGGGATTTACCTCTGTAGTTCCTCAGCCGCCTGCTTCGAAAGTGCAAGGTCCTGAGTTCAATCTCTGGTACCAAAAAAAAAAAAAAAAAGTCATTAGTACTACCAAAGGGAAAGTCACTGTCTCAACCTCTGCCGTTGCCTCCTAGAGAGAGAGTGCATGCAAATGAGCGGACCAATTTTGAGGTCTGAAGAGCCCAGGGTTTTGGGTTGTTCCCCTACAGACTGCACACACTACAGTGATCAGTCAGACTCTGAGACTATCCCTTAGTGCCACCTGCAGGGATCTAGCACAGAACTTTCTCCATCTAAAATTCCTGACCTTTCTTGGTTTGGCGAACAGTCACTGCTGCTTTTTTATTTGTTATTTTTAATTTTTTGGTCCAGTAGGATTTTTTTTTCCTAAAATATTCAGAAAATCAGAAATATTTTAGTGATATTTACCTTTCAAAATATTTAACTGATGCTTACCTTTTTCTCAAAGAGTTAAGATTTACTTTCTCAATCTTTAACCAAGAAACATTTCAGAGCCAGGCATGGCAGTACATGGCTGTGACCCCAGCACTCTGGGAGGCTGAAGCAGAGGATCACGAGGTCAAGCTCAACCTGGGCAATTTAGCAATTTAAGGAAATCTTGTCACAGAATAAAAATTTTTAAAAAGGGATGGAATGCACCTCAGTGCAAAGGCCCTGGAATCGTCAAGGCAGCGTAGAGAGATATGAATATGAGAGATATAGAGAGACAGACACTGATGGATTTTTGTGTGCTAAATAGCAGAGAGAAGCATGCTAAGGAGAGTGGGAGGAAATGCCAAAGAAAACAAAGACACAAAGACTGAGGCTCAGTGGTGCCACTGCCTGCCTTGCAAGCAAAAGCTCCCAAGTTTGATCCCCAATACCAAAAAAAAAAAAAAAAAA